ATGCGCTTTACACAATTGATGTGTGTATGGATTGGGATAACAGATGTATGAGCCCCTAATAAAATGTTAAAAAAGAGAAAAAAAAAATTTTTTAAGTGCATAAAATAATACCTTGATAAACAAAATCATTAAAGTAAAAAAGAAAAAAGAAAAAAGAAATGCCTTCCTTCACCTACACTTCCTTTATTAATACTGGTTTTCCTATTGTTCTGACTTATATTCTTCAACATTCAATCTTCAACTCTAAATCTTTCTCTATACTTCCTTACTTAAAACCTCCTGAAATCTTTGTCTCCAACCCTCTTTCTCAATTGCCTGTACTACATTTAACCGGATGATCTAGAGCAGTGGTTCTCAAACTTCCTAATGCCGTGACCCTTTAATACAGTTCCTTAGGTTGTGGTGCAACCCCCCCCCCAACCAAAAAATTATTTTTGTTGATACATCATAACTGTAATACTGCTGTTATGAATCGGGCGACCCCTGTGAAAGCGTCATTCGACCCTTAAAAGGGTCATGACCCCACTGGTCGAGAACTGCTGATCTAGAGGCACCTTGATTTCAACATGTGCCAAATTGAACTTAACATCTTGTTCTTTAAACCTCGGCCACATTTTTTATTTTTCTATTCCTATCCATGGTGGATGATGATCTGTCATTCTTACTCACACTTTAAATTTTCATTGCACTCCGTCAATGCCTGCACTGCAAATGTCTTGAATCATTTTCTTTCTTTCTCATTGTCACTAGGTAACTTCACCTCAGTGATTAAAGCAAGTCTCCCAACTGGTCATCTTGCTTCCAAATTCTCTTATTGCCAGGCATATGTGATTTCAACTGAATCCTGAAACACTGATGTTATTAGCTCTTTCCTGCCTATGGGGACATGGATGTACATTTATCTGGGGACCAGAAAACTAGTTTCCACCAGCCCACCGTCAGTATGTGAGGTCCCAGGGTAGACTGTGATTGTGCAGAAGCAGGTCACGTCTTTCTCCGAGGCCCCTCTAGGTCGACTTGGCCCTCCAACCTTCCAGCTGGCAGCCAAGGACATCTGCACCACAGGATATATGCATAAAAACTCTCTTTCCTATATGATTTAATTGCCACAAGGGGTGGCAAGCTTCCACCAGGAGAATTTATTTCAGAGGACATCACTGAAGCTGCAGCTCAGGGAGAGGGACATGTCTGATCAGAGCAAACAGGAGCAAATGAAGGGGGAAGAACAGAGAGTGGAGCACATCCTGGACGATGATAATCCCAAGCCTTGACGATGATATTCCCGCTCAGAGCAGCCAATCCACAGAGAAGACCATATGGCCGGTCCCACTATGGGAAACGACATCACACACTGACCCATAGCCCTACAGGGGACAACACTGGAGACACAGTGTGGGAATTGCATCGGATCAGATTCCACCACACCAAGGTAAAACACTAAGGGCGTGCAACAGAACAGCAGGGGAAACAGAGCAACAAAGTCCCCAGGGAATACCAAAATTAGACTTTGGGGCCAGAGCGTGGCACCCCATCAGACTCCACCGGAAAACACTCCTAAAGGCCAACAAACAGTCCTTGAACTAACTACAAGCTTTTCTTTCTTGTTTTGTTTTTGTCATTGGTTTGCTGTTGTTGTTTGTTATATGTTGCTGCTTGGTTTTGCTCTGTCTTGTTTTTGTGCATGTTATT